AAAATTATTCGTAATATTGTAACAATTTGGAATCTCTAACTCATTTGTGCCTACTTCAGATTAATAAATCAATGGCTGAGGTTTAGCCTTGAATGTTTATGTTGAAGAAATAAAGTCAACCTTCAAATTTCATCAAACACAGTTTCTACACGAACAATGAATTTGAAGCTTTTCATACTAATTCTGTTCATTAAACTAAACTGGCCAGAAGCTGTCAAAACCAATATAATAATATACAGAGAGATTAGAGCCTTTTAACTCTGAACATTTGTAAGCATATCGCACACTTTTTTAAAACCCGTATTTATAAAACCCAAGATTTGGAAGCAATAAGCATATTATAATGTTTTCAAAATCCAACATTAATTGCTAAAATTCTTGATTTGGATCTTCAAATGTATCTCCATTTCCAACGAAATGTTGTGAATAACAGATTTAGTTCTTCATTTTATTTATCATGTTGTCGAAGTACTTTTATTTCGATCCCCCAGTTGAATCCATTATATTCCAGCTTTTCGTCTTAGGAATACCTCTTAGCAAGTTAGTAAATAGTTTGTTGTAGTTTGACCAAAATTCTAGTGAGTGTTGGAGTTATATTTAAAGTCGTCTTGGATAAATCAAAAAATTTTCGCTAGCTGCATGCTCGAGCGAAACTGTCAAATTTGGAACAAAGAATTTTCGACTACTTCTCGACCGCTATCGCTCAACACTACTCAAGCAAAGTTGCTTCCCGACTTTTCCGTTGGAACGCGTTTTGGACTTCAAATCATCTACAACTAGGTTTCTAGGGTTTTTTATATATATAATAGCGTGTGTTGTTCATACAACAGAATATACAACATTTCGAGAGATTTAGATCTTAGTTGAGAATATTGAGATCTTGTAAATATAATTGCTATTGATTATAATGGATATCTTCTCCTCTGCCCGTGGTTTTTTCCAGTCTTAGATTTCCATGTAAATCTTCGTATTCTTTATTTTGTTCTTGTTTACTTCATTATTATCATAATCTTTCGGTCAATTAACAACATAGTTGCAGTCTAAATTAGATTTGTAAAGCTTTATTCTCGTTGTTTCTGATTGCACATAGTAAAAAGTCAGCTCCTTTTCTATTCCAATTTAACCTTTGCGACTGCACTTTGGATTTTAAGATGGGGATACTCGAGGTCATAGGAAATTTCTTTGTTATTTCATTGCAACTTCAGCTTGTATTTTCTACCCGTTGATGTATCCGTTGAAGAAAAATATATCCCATAATGCGTTGATGTATCCATAAAGAAAAACATATCCAATAAATTATAGGGTGAGGTTTGTAGTGGGAATTCTTTTTGGACTAATAAGAGGAAATACCCCAGGCCCTCAGCCTTGAATTTTTAGTTATATCCTGCTTAATAAGAATAAGTTATCATTCACATGTTAATGCTCATAATATTATATTAATTGTTGATTGATTTAAATTTTTATATACTATTTAAGCTAAGCCTAAAAGGGACAAAGTTAGTATATGAAATGAATTATGTTTTGAAAAACATAACTTGTCACGCAAATACCCTCTTAGACTGTGCCTTTGATACATAGAGGATATTTGGTGGGGATGAAAATTAGATTTTTAGTAGATTGTGATAGAAGTTTTTAAAATGTGTGGTTGAAAAGTTGCTATACCCATAAAAGATGTATTTAATATTTATTGTTTGACTTTGACTTAGATTTAAAACCAAACATGGGCATAATACCTCTAATAAAGTAAACTCTTTTATTTATTGAACATAGAAATTCTAGGATATGAAAAACCATTATCTACATTGTTTAAATTGAAATTTCAACGAGAGTTACACATTTTCATCTAAAATAACATTTTATTAATGACCGTTAAAAATTGAATCCCAAATAAACCACTTAAATTGAGAGATACATTTTCAACTGATTTTCGATGATTTGCTTGGACTAATTAAAACCTAAATTTATTAAGCATATTGTAAATTTTTCAATATCCGAAGGAATTTGGGTTTGATGTTGTGGTCTAAATATGAAAATTTAATTAATTACGAAAAACATAACGTTGCTAAAATATCATCCCAAGTTATGACTTTGATTATGGTATCATATGAAATTATACTCATTCATCTATTGAAATTTTCGAGTTCTCGTATCCGTATCTGAAAATCATTGTCTAACATATTTACAAAGTTAATATCTTAATGATAGTACTAATCTTCGTTAAAATAACATTTCATGCTTGTTCAAAAAATGATGTGGCAGTAAATTATTGATGGCAACATCAAAATATATTTTAAGTTGTTGAACAATGTAACATTGACCCTACTGACACGTAGACATAATATGAACTCCAGAATAGTTCTCCATGCATTGTATAAAGCTAGACTTGCTTCTGGTTTCATACAAATTAAGAAAATATAATTAATATAATTGAAATTATAAATTTTATTAACATTTTCCCTCTCTTTTTATACTTCTCGTTCTCAGGTTGGTTGAATTAAAAGTTAAATTATAATATTTCCTAATTATAATTGAATAAAAAAAGAAATAAAAAAATAGAATTATAATTCTTTTTTGGTCAATTTTTATAATAATAAAATCAAAATAATGGACTTTTGACAATAAGAATTTCTCAAAAATCAAAAGATAATTTAACTTTTGAATGTTGATAATAATATTATAAAATAAAATTAATATACATCCCCATAACCCAACCCCCACCCTACCCAATTTCACTCCCAACTTGTAAATCGTTTCTCATTTGTGATTCTTTTAAAACTAAGGAAGATCAAGAGAATGCGGCACCACTGTGCGCCCATCGAACAGAACAACACTAAACCCAACCCATGATTGAAACCAACAACCCGAACCAACTCTTTATGAGATCATAGTGCTTTTAATCTCATCAATTAGCCGAGGGATAAAATCTAGTTGAGAATTGGGAAGCTTAGAAGATTCATGTGTAAATCGGTCATGAAAGTGATTAATCACTAAAATTGTTGATTTGGATTTTCCAAAGAAATGTTGTGAATAATACACTTAGTTCCTCAATTTTTTTTTTTTTATCAAATTGTCGAAGTACTTAGTTTTTCGATCCCCTAATTGAATCCATTTTATTACAACTTTTTGTCTCAGGAATACCTCTTAGCACGCTAGTAAATAGTTGTAGTCTAAATTAGATTTGTAAAGCTTTATTTTGATTGCACATAGTAAAAAGTTAGCTCCTTTTCTTTCAACCTTTGTGAAGAATTACAAAACACTTGTTTATTCCACCACTTAAGGCCAATTTTTAGTCTAGAAAAATTATTCTAGAAAACCAATAGCCTTTGTCGCTGCTATTGATTGTTTCCAGTTCCTTACAAAAATGTACTAAAATTGGTCACCTCAAATCCACATCTTCCAGATCTGGAAAGTAGATGGGCAGTTGGCGATTCCATTTATCAGTAGTCTACAGTAGGAGGCAATGGTCTAAAGTGTTCCAATTCAAGTGTTAAACAAGAATGATCGAACAAAGATCCAATGCAAAGGAATTACTACATACCACATATGCCAGTTTGTACAAGTATGTTGTGAATCTTCATAATCTGCATTTTCTAGGTTACAATACCTCACAAACTTCTAAAAAATCATCAATGACAACTGGATTTGAAAGTTTGACACCGAATCTTTCTTGGCCAAGAAAAGAGCACATTAAAATCACCCCTGAAAAAACCAAGGTGGATCATATTACTTGAAAGAACTTTTAGACTATCCCAAAGTTCCACCCTTTCATGTGTGGTTGATTTTCCATGTACTACAGTAGAATGGAAAGAGTAGGGCTAATAGACTTTGTACCTTAAAGATAACTAAGTCCTTGTTTGAATCCTATTTTTTGAGTATAGATTTTGTAAGAATGGTTTTTTTGGAGAACGTGTGATTAAAAAGTAAGAAATTGATTGCTTGCAAAATTATTTTATAGAGAGAATGTGAGTAAACCACATGCAGAAAGTATAAATAACTAGTCATGAATAACCTTGTCCCATGCAAAACAAGTTTCATTGTTTTTCCTCCATCACGTAAACCATAGACTTTGAACTTCAATTTCTTATATAACAAAGCATTATTTTATCAAGTAAATATATGATTTTGATATTCTCATGTATATTTTGATATTCCAAAACAAAGAACCAAGGCCCCACTCAAAACAAGGCTACAACAGCACTATTTTCAAAACAAAGAACAAAGTCCTAACTACATTAATCATGCATATAAAACCTTAAAATAATTTGAATTACACATCAACTACCATAAAAAAATACCTTGGATAATTTATGAACGTTACAAATTTTGTCAAACTAGAGTAGGTTCCCAGGAGAAGTGTTAGACCTCGTCTAGATTTAACATCCGTATTCACTGAGCATTCAATACCAAATCTTCAAAATTTTTCGAAGCCCTCTAAGACTTCTGCGCAATCTTTTGCAATACCCTAAACCAATGGTTCATCTTCCCAAATTGATTTACCTAAAGTTCTGATACCACTAATATAAAAATCTGATGTGAATTAAAGATAAACTACACAACAATTCTACATCTCATTATAGCACTTAAAAGTAGTAATCAGTACCAAGATGTACACAATTTTAGGGCTCAGATTTTGTACACGTGTCACAAACAGTCAACCCTAGTGTTGGACCCAACCCAAATTTTTAGCACATAAAGTTTTGTAACTTACAAAAATAGAGAAACACGTTTTCATCTCAAACGCTAGGACAACAGATTAGCCTTAAAATCATTGACCATGCTTCAAATCTAATGATCTAGATTGCTCTAAACACACTGAAGTTGTTACTGAGTGGCAATCCAAGTAAAATATGTTCTTAAATTAGCACTTTAAATGGGACAAGTTTTGGACTGATCTTGTGAGATTTGGACTTGGACTTGGAGAAGTCGGTTCATCTCCAATTTAGGCCTAAGCCTGAAGATCAATCGTGGATCATTACAGCCCAAGCACTTGTTTTGCATCATATCTCAAATTATCTATTGTATTCATACACAAATTATAACAACCTAACATTATTACACAGCACTTTTAATGTTCACAATATGCATAATAATGTCTAATAATATGACAACATTAGGTGCTACTAGATTTCCATGATTACGCAATGTTACTGAATGACTCACAAATCACAAGAGTTGCGTGGCAATCTCCAATAAACACACAAAAAATATGCTTATAAAAGAATGACTTCCTAAAAGTGGAAATGCTAGGGTTTTATGTTTGGTGGTTCTCTTTTTCTTCTCCAGACTCTTCCAATTCCCCGCTCATGTGAGACCCTGCATTGCCTTCATCGGTTTCCAAGGCTTTTGAAAACAGCAAAATTAATTATACTTCATTTTTTTAATACTATTTACGTTTGAAAGAGTTTTCCTCCAAAATTCAATTTAAAATATACGTTAGGCATTACTAACAAAAGAACTTGTTTATTAATTTTTACTTGGTGAAATGTAAATTCAATAAAAACTAATATAATTGTAATGGTAACATGAATAATAAAAAATTTCGACACTATATCTGAATGTAACTAGAGAACAAGGGTATATTTATACCTGTTGTAGCACTTGCATGAAGTTCTTGTATGTCCAAATGCACCTCACCACTTAAAGCAGTAATAATATTCTCACTGCTAGGAGTTGAGTCCAAAGTACCATGATTAGGGTGTTTGAGTAAAGTACGCCATTCATCAATATATATTGATTGGTCAAGCGATAGATTAGGAATTTCATACTTCTGAAGAGCTTTCAGAATTTCTTGAGTCTCTCCGAGAAGGTGAGTTGTTTCCTTTATAATTTTATCCCGTTCTTCTATGGCGCTATTGTTGCATTTCTTGAGTATAGCATGAGGTAAATTGGTCAGACACGCAGCAAATATATCTGCAACAATAACTGAAAATCTCTCAAATACTTGAGTATCTGATGCTGAATGATAGCTTTCCTCATGGACCAACAGCAAACTATTGCTTATTTTGTACATTGAATTGGCAATTATGATATTTTCAGGCAAGTCAACTGAGCTTTCCATAGCATTTCCATTCATTCTACTAGTAAATTCCTTCAAAATTTCTTCACTTATATTTGCAAGATTCTGAAGAGTTTCTTTGGAGGATTTTGATACCCTGGCAATTTTTTGGAGATCCATGTCTAACCACTTGCGCCTCAATTCAAATAAAACCCATGCAAAATCTGCAGCTCTCGTGCTGCTCATCAATTTTTTATGAACATCTAGACTTTTCTCCGTTAGGCGCACATACTTAAAACCTTCAATGACACCTCTCAACAACTGATTCCTCTTCTCATTTTGAACATTGGGAAGAGCAATCGTGATGCTTGTTAGTGTTGCCACAGCTAGACTCCAGCAATTAAGAGTTTCTGTGCAAATAATCGAAGAGACTTGATCACTTTCAAATTTTGATACACCCTCGAAGCTGGTGGAATTCTCCATAAGCTCCATTAGATATCTAGGTTGATGCTTTGTGCCCATCTTTATGGATGAATTAATAGAAGTGTTAATGAACGTCAGGTATCCATCATTTATTGCCTCACTTTCTAGATGTAAAACAAAATTTCTAAGATCTTGGTCATAACCAACCGTGTGTTCTGCTTCATTGGGATTGGCCAAGGCTTCAGATTGCCTTAAGAAAAAATTTTTTACCATCACCAAGCATCTAATGATTCTCATCCTTAAGATACCAAAAAAGAGTACGATGGTGATGGCACATGGGAGAATTAGTATGGAACTGGCAACTGCATCCCTGGCAAATAAGAGGATAATTCCACCAATTGAGATGGGAAGAAGCAACTTATTCAAGATCACAATCACTATCTGACTTCCAATACAAATGTTGATAAGTAGATTTCTGATGTGATAAATAATTTTTCTACGCTTCTGGCCTCGAACATATAATGGTGGGAGTCTCCTTTTCCACTCTACCAATCTTTTAATCCTGTAATTCTTTATTTCTAAGGAAATGCTAGAGATGGTACATTGTCTAATATTCCGTACAGTGTGAACTAAAGCTACTGAAAATCTTCCCAAAGACATGACAGTGCAAAGATTCGTGCCTAAAAGTTGAGTCCAAAAAAGAAAATATACTGACCATTTATAATCAGAAGCAGCACTTGTCTTATAGGCTGTGGAATACATTCTTCCGTTTAAAGTATAACTTATGATGCATATCATGAATAAAATAACGCTAGCCTCAGATCGTGCCATCACAAACTGAGGGTTACCTGTTTCTGTCATCACCCAGTACTTCTTCACACACAACTTTAACTTGTCAAAGTCCATTATTTGGTCTCCTTGTAGTTCCGGTGCCAAAATTCCTGTTTGCAATTCTGTGTACTTACGTTCCAAATACCTTTTACTTGTAAATACCGTTAAAGCAGCAGAACTCAATACAATGAACGCGTAAACATTCATGCAGACAATCACCACTTGGAAAACATCGTCAATCACGCCTGTGAATGCTTGGATGATAACATTTACGGTAAGCGTCACTATAAGGATACCCAATGCTGTCAAGTTCACTATTATATCTCTATCACTCATGGATCCTAGAGAAGGCATGAAATGAGTGGTTGAAACACAAAAGAAAGCAGTGCTACTATTTTTAGCGGCTTGATTATACCCATCTTTCATCGGGGTAGTTAGATCCATTGACAACTTCACTGCGACTGCTAACACAGTCAAGGAAGCGGCGTTGAGAGAAGAAAATCTGCAAGGGAACCATAACTTTCTATGGCGGACAGAGATCACTGCATCAATGAATAGTGAAACAGTCCATATTAGAGATGCTACAGCAGCGTATAGGCCTATCCATGGCATTGGTGCTTTAGAGTCCATCATTTTGCTCAATTATTCAGCTCTCTTCCCACGCTGCTTTACTTTTGATTTAAGATGAGGATATGCTCGAGTGGTGGAAATTTCTTTACTTTTGATTTAACATGTATTAAATTTTTATTGACTTTACCTTGTGATCTATATAAAAATGATTAAACCAGCTTTATGTTCAGTGGTTTAAGTTTGGTGGTTAGAGATACGGACATTTCATGTGCTGAAAATATGAATAGTAATCACTTTCACCATAAAGAATCCTGTCGGCCATTAATGTCTCACTTTCACCTCACCACCATTACTGTCAGCCAGCAGTAAGACTAAGAGTTCTCCCTATGAAACCATATACATACCATCACCGCAGTTATTCATCCGTGAGAACTTGAAATTTATATAGCCAGCATCCGCAAGTCTCTTATCATATATACGAGTAATAAGTTCTTGATTACCGACCCAAATTCCTGACAATGCCCAAAAAATAAAAATAAAAATCATCAAAATCACATCTTTATAAGAAAACTAGTAGGGTGAACGTGCATAAGTGTATGTAAAAATGATAGGATGACATGGATAGAACTTTGAGCTATATAAATAAGAGGTTGATGTGTTACTTTCAACATTTACTACCATTTATGATTCCTCGATAATAAAATGAGTGATTTTTAACTATATCTTGAACAATTCAATTTAAACTTGATCCTATTTTGACCTGCTTCCACCTTCATTTTATTTTTTATTTTTTTATTTTTATTTTTATTTTTTTATTTTATTTTTTATTTTTTGTGGATGGGTGGAGGCAGGGGCAGACTTGGGGGGGTTTACCGGTTCAAGTGACCCTCTAGATTTTACAAAAAGAAAAAAATTAGTTTAGCCTCTTTTTTTTTTTTATTATAAGGTACCCTATAAATTCTATTTGTGACCCCCTAACCCAAGTCGTCTAGGTCCGCCCCTGGGTGGGGATGAGCTGCATAAAGGATTTTGAGTTTTATGAAGTTGCATACCACAACTATATCGGATTTCTTTTTGAATGGGACAAATAGATATGGAATGATAATTGTATTTTGTCGTCTTTATTTTTTCTTACTTCTCCTGTTTTCCATTACACAAATCATTGACATAACAAAAATTAATGAAGACAATATAAATAAAACAATCTCGCAACCAATCAGTTTTCTTTAAGTTGTTGCGATGGCAAGACATGTTCAATATTTGCATATCCTTCATGCCTAGACGCTACGATTGAGCTGTTTTCGTTTAGAAACGATGCATCACAGATTAGGCTCCCAAAGAACTTTGTCTTGCTCCAAAGTTCACGCCAAGACCAATTGCACTTTATTATGATTAGCTTATCAACCAAAAATAGATCATCGTAGCATTGCATTCAGCAAGAGTCTGAACCTGCAAGGCAAATAAAAGTGTATATGTGAAAACTACCAAACTGGAAAAATATCAAACTCTGAAACTTGAAGCAAATTCATGTCACTAATCAACATAAAAAAAAAATATATATATATATATATATATATATATATATATATATATATAAAATTTAAATTTGGAAAGTTGGCGGACTAAAGTGACATATGGAAGAACCTCTCAATGGAAGAGGTATAGAGTCTTATTAAATATCATTGAGCATATTTTACATGGTACCACCAGACCTATTTTAAAAAATAATAATAATAAATAAATAAAATCTCTTTTTCTTGGTTGAGTTTTCTTACTATGGGAGGAGCCTCTTCCTCTTTAATTTAATTGTTCCCATACTTCTCTTTCAGCCTCATAAACTTATTTTGCAATTGAGTCCTGGTCATATCCACGTGTAGGTTCTTCTTAATAAAATCATTCGAATCAGCAACTAATTGAGATTTTTTTCTTAAGGACATAATCAATCATGCCTTTGAGAACCACAATTTCATCATCTTTGCTCCCCAGCCTCTTTTTCTTTTGCGGGGCGTTTAGCACCCTCGGTAGCCTTCGACGACAGGCTGGTCCGGGAAGCTTTAGGCTTGCATCTAGGCAGCGCTAGTAGTGGGCTTTTGTGGCTCTTCCATTGGCTTGGAGACTAGGGGCTTTACATTTGGGTTGACTGGTTCGGTGTGGCACTCTGGTTCAGCTCCGGACTCTTCATCTTCCTACTCGGATTAAGAGGAAGGATACGGGAGCTTAGAAATTTATTAAAATTATAATCTATTTTGAAATAGTGAATATTAATGTCCTGGCATTCATCTTGACCATTATAGAAAAAAAGTCATGAAATTTAAAATTTACAACATATCCAACCCCTTATATTTTATCATAGGTAATTAATGGGCAAGAAACAAAACACAATAAAACTATCTTTATATTGGATTTTAAATGGTTTTTCTTGTTTCACCACATTTGAGTTATAGAATTAATGCCAACCTGCTTTACTTTTTTTGGTTCTAAAAGTTGGAAGTTGAAAAACTTCTTGAGATCTTTTGGTAGGAAGGGAAAAAAATTCATCTCGATTCATATAATTGTCCTTTTGACGTTTAAGCTTTCAGATTCACATTTCAGATTAGAAGAATACATCCTCGATAATGTGACATGAAGACTGTCAAATTCAGGCTGTGAATATTTGTATAGCAAGAATTTTCTACAGATTACCATAATGAGGGTTCCTTGTACTACCCTTCACCTCATATGAAAACAACAACTTACCCCTCTTGGGGTAGCCGAGTTGGTGGAGTACGTGACTGCAGAGACATTTGGTTCGATTCCCCCTACCAACACATTCTCGATCAAACCTGTCGCACCGGACTTGCCTAGTGCGGTTTACTCGGCTGACGTGGTTTGCAGACTATTGCGTCAGCCCGAAGGTTTACCTAGTGCGCACTCGAAGAGTAATGGCTGGGTTTCCCCAGTTAAAAAAAAAAAAAAAAAAAAAAAAAAAAGGGGAAAAAAAAAACAAAAAAAAAAGGCCAGAGGCAACAACAACAACTGAAATAGTGCTCAACTATTGTCATCCTTCTAGTATCGGATATGGGGCTCACATTCTTGTCGGCACCCACTTCAGTCACACCAATTGAGCCAACCAACTACAAAGTCCAACAATATGAGAATCATCCATTGAATGTTCTACAATATCTCTATATGTATGCAACTATGGTATGCATGAAAATTAATATGATAATAAAGCAACATGAATATGAGGGAGCAATATGTGGCAAGAACTCAATCCCTGTAATGGAATATTTTAAAAAACAAGAACATTGTAATGATTTTGTCGACTTAAAAAAATCGAGTTTATTTTTGTATTTATATCAAGATGCTATACAATCTTTGAGTTATTGCACATCTCTCTTTGACCATCATGTTCCTTCTTCGTTTGGATACCTTGATTTTTAATTCTCAAGTAATGAAAAGAAGTAATTTTTTTTTTTTTTGAAATTCATTCGTATATATTTTAGGTAAATAAATCATAGACGAATGTATACATTTCCTTGTTCTACTTATCCACTGGAAATTAATAATTCTTTTCATTATATTAAACATTCAATAGAAAAATAATCATGGTTATCATTCAAGAATGTGTTTCTTCACATTCCGCACTTAGTTCCACAAACGATGCCTGCGAAGTGCTTACATGCTTCACTCATGGTGCACAAGTGCTGCAAATATGTGAAATCTTTTTATTTTAAGATTTTCCCTCCAAAATTAAACTTTTGTAGGAAAATTTTTACTACGGCTCCCCAAGATTTTGAATAAATTACAATTCCGCCCCAACTCAATTTTTATTCCCTCCCATCTCCAACCTTTCATTAAGGAAAATGGCACTTTTTATGACGTGAACATTTGCAAAATGTTACTAGTCGACCCTCAACCTTTTTTCTCACCAGATGTTGCATTTTGTTTTGTTTCTTTTTTGGAAATGTTCAGTTTTATTTAATTGTGGTCACTTATCATCTCTTTGTTAATTTATCTCCACCAGGTTTTGATGCTCCTTTTAGCCAATAAATACATGCCCGGATAAAGATCAGTTATATTATTTTCGCCGTTCTCTTTAAAAGTGATCTTTAATCTCTTCTCGATATAATCAAGAGTTATTCTGTATGCCAGATTTCAATTGCAGACTCGTGAATCTATTACATGAATTGGACGACAGGTAGAAAAGTGACAGAGCATCCAAGGAACATCGCAGCATACAGAAGACATTGGCGGGCGGTATGACAGTGAAAGGGTCATCATCAGAATCTTCTCCTCCATCTTCAAATCAGCAAGATCGTTTCATGGATAAATTCAATTTACTTGTGGCTATAGGATGCAAAGTCTGTTTAATTTACTTCATGGTGCCAAAATAGGTGGAATCCAGACTTAAAGAAATTTACGTACTCGTGCATCTCTTCGAGAAGGATAGACCTTACATAATACATGCTGAATCTATATTGTGTTGGAAATAAAAAATATGGAAAGAAAGACTAGAGAAAAAATTCAGAGATTTCTCCAAAATTTATTTGTATTCTATGGCTTGGCTCTATAAAATGTCTCAAGCACAAGGCCTTTTATAGGTACAAATGATCCCAAATACATTGCATAAACTTAAGAGATCAATTAATGACCTTTCCTACATACTATGAATAATACAATACAAACAACCATTTGGATACATGATTTAAAATAAATGCATGAATATTAAATAAACTAATTCATGTATCAAATTTAATTTTACATCATTCATGAATCAAGTTTAGTTTCCAACGCCCCTTCTTAAACTTGATTCCCTCTTGATAACTCCATTCCAAGTACGCAATCTTGCAAAATCATCATTCTTCAATGGTTTGGTAAAAATGTATGCTACTTGATCATTGGTCTTCACATAAGCAAGCTCAACTTCTTTGTTCTCAATGCACTTTCTAATGAAGTGAAATCTCATATCTATATGCTTGCTTCGATCATGGAACATAAGATTTCGATCATGGAACATAAGATTTTGGGGCATATGAAGCATCTCCAATAACTTCTATAGCCAAATGGCACGACAAATACACGATGCAGCGAAAACATATTTAGTTTCACAAGTAGAAAGAGTCACAATGGGCTATTTTTTTGAACACCAAGTGAAAG